CCGATCCATATCCAATGCCCAATTCCGTTCTCTCCTCGACTCCTTAGGACATCACTTCATCTTGGGTGCAGACCTAAATGCCAAACATCAACAATGGGGTTCCAGAACCACGAATACTCGTGGCCGAACCCTGCTGTCTGCACTCAATTCCCAACATTTTCACCTCCTTTCCCCCAACTCTCCTACCTACTGGCCTACAGATCCCAACCGTAATCCTGATCTTCTTGATTTCTTTATCCACAGCGGCTTAAGTCCCCTCAATTGTTCCATTACACGTCTAAATGAACTTTCCTCTGACCATAGTCCTCTAATCCTTAATGTTTCACTTGAACCCGTTCCCAAACCTTCTCCACCGTCATTTATTAGGGGCCCAGTTAACTGGGACCTTTTCCGCCAAATCATCTCCGATAAAATTGATCTTAACATATCCCTCAAAACTCCCGATGACCTTGATAGTGCCGTAAATTCCTTTACTACCACAATCCAACAAGCCGCCTGGACTGCTTCCTTCCCAAAAGACTCCTCCAGAATTCCTAAAAAGACCATTCTACCCCAACACCTCCTTGACCTAATCCAAACCAAACGCCGTGCCAGATTATTGTGGCAACGTACCCGACATCCTACCGACCGCTGCTCCTATAATTATTACTGCAAAAAATTAAAACTGGAATTAGCCACCTTCAGATCACATTCCTTCAACTCCTACCTATCCTCCCTTTCTTCTCGCGACAATTCCCTTTGGAAAACCACTACCAAAATCTTAAATCCTCACCGCATTTCCCATCCCCTCCGACGAGATGATGGCTCCTGGGCAGCATCTGACGAAGATAAGGCTGAGGAGTTCGCCATTCACCTATCCAATACATTTATTTCACATCCGGAATCCCATCCTGCCCACACCGTAACAGTAGAAGAATTCCTTACACCACCAATCCCACTTTCCTTGCCCCCAAAAGCTATTCATCCTTCCGAAGTGAAATTCCAATTAAAAAAATTAATCCCCCGTAAAGCTCCTGGACATGATCTCCTTACCCCTCAAATCCTTCGACAACTTCCATCCAAAGCAGTCATATTCCTTACATATATCTACAACTGTATCCTACGCACCACCCACTTTCCTCTGCTATGGAAACACTCCACTATTATCCTTTTCCAAAAACCAGGCAAACCTCCCAATATCTCAACATCCTATAGACCAATTAGCCTACTCCCAATCCTTTCAAAAATTTTTGAAAAGATCCTTTTGAAACGAATCCTACCCATTATAGAATCCCAAAATATTCCTTCCCATCAGTTTGGTTTTCGCTCCCAACATTCCACTGTTCAACAAGGACTCCGAGTTGTTGATCATATTTCCTCAGCCCTAGAAAACAAGGAATACTGTTCGGGTGCATTTCTGGACATTGCACAGGCATTTGACCGGGTATGGCACTCCGGACTGCTCTTCAAGCTTAAAATCCATTTACCTCAGTCCTTGTACCTAGTCCTCCGATCCTACCTCTCTGACCGCTCCTTCCGAGTTCGCTGTGGAACAGAATTTTCCAATATCTACTCCGTTAAAGCCGGTGTTCCCCAAGGCAGCGTCTTGGGTCCCGTGCTTTACATCCTCTTTACTGCTGACATCCCTGTTCATCCCGATACTTTTCTTGCAACATTCGCTGACGACACCGCAATCTTATCATCCAACTCTGATCCCAACATAGCATCCTTAAATCTCCAAAACCACCTCACCTTGATTGAGCACTGGTGTAATAACTGGCGCATTAAAGTTAATGAATCTAAATGCCAACATATTACCTTTACACTCCGACGCAGTTCCTGTCCACCAGTACACTTTAATTCCATCCAGCTTCCTTACTCAGACACAGTCCGGTATCTTGGCTTTCATTTAGACCGAAGACTAACGTGGAACCCACATACTAGACTCAAAAGACAAGAACTCAACCGACGATACGGCCAGCTATACAGACTACTAAACAGAAAATCCAAACTTTCTATTGAAAACAAATTACTTATCTACAAGACAATACTGAAACCTATATGGACATACGGACTTGAACTGTGGGGGACAGCAAAAGCTTCTAACATCAAACGTATTCAATCCTTTCAATCTAAAGTCCTTCGAACAATAGTTGATGCTCCGTTCTATGTAAATAACAAAATCCTACACCATGACCTTAATATCCCATTTGTCCTAGACCTTATTCCAGAAAAATTCTCCAAATTTCACCAAAACCTTACCTATCATCCAAATCCCCTTGCACAATCTCTATCCAGCACCACCCATCCTTACAATCCTCCTCGAAGGTTGAAGCGGCAGTGGCCCAGAGACCTTTTGTAAATAAGCATCTATTGGAGTTTTGGCAATGGCCAGATCCTCCACTCAAGCCCGAGTGTGTATGATTAGGTTAGTTCTTTTGTTTATATACATTTATTTTATTTTATTGTATTTATTTTTATTTTATTTTATTGTATTTATTATTATTAAGTTTCTGTATTATTTATTTATTTATTTATTTTTTTTTTAATTGTAAATAGAGTGTGAGTGTGCTTTCTCTGATCACTATTATAAATGTCCTTGATGTGACAGAATGTAATATTTCTAAATAAACAAAAAAATAAAAAAAAGAACAGCTCAATTAATGAACGAAACAAGCTCGTCAAATGAAAAATAAATTAAACTAAAACTAAGGTGTATGCTTTAGACCACACGTTAGAAGTAAAAACATCTACAAGGCGAGGTAATAATATGAAATATAAATTATAAATGATAGCTCATTATTAAGATGATAGCTGGCCATTTCCCTCGCTTACATTACGCAGGTCGGATTTTTAGTTTCTGAGGTATATTAATCTATATCCTCCATTAAAACCGTTATCATTTGGTTTTCTACATTATTTTTTCCCTTTTCGCCTTTCTAACGCGGCGTCTCGTAAAGATACAATTTTGAATCAAAAAAAATCAAATCAAAAAATGTCAAAGAACTTCGTGAAAGGTAGAGGATGGCAGACATTACCTGACGTGCTTGGCAGTTTGCTTACTCTTGTAGATAGAGAATTTTGTCTTCTACAGATATGTTATCTCCAAACAGATAACGTGTCATACCGGTTCTCTGGTTCCAATCTTTTATTTTATGAGTCACTTCTTTTTTTGAATTGTTAATATGATGGATTTTTCTAGCTCGATGGAAATTTTACTATCTAGAATTTGTTATAGATATCTAACTACTATATTTTCCCTTCCTCGAACAATTTTTTAATTACATCTCTTTGATCTCGATCCAGACAACGAGCTGTCTTAGATTGTTATTAACTTATTATTATTAGAATTTTATATTTCAGCTTCAATGCAGTGTTTTAGATTAGTTTTAGTTTATATTTATTAATGAATGATATCTTCATTAAATTCAATCAATGGTTTATAAAGAGGGAATTAAAATAAATTTACTCGGTAAACAGATTTAAAAAAATCATAAATATATTCTTGATATTTTTTCATTTATTAATAATGTAATACCGAGATTGTACATCACGCCTAAAACGTTTTAGTTAATGTAGGCATAAATTAAAACTATCAATATATTACTAATATCCGTTATTATTTGTATAGATATGTAGCAATTGAAAGTAGACAAAAAGTTTATTAGTTTAAGAAAGAAAAAAAATCAAAGATGTCAGGTTCAACAACCAAACATCAAAAGTAAATTTTTTTAAAGTGATCTGGTGTTTCGTATTAATATCCACAGCATGGGAATAAAGTCGCCCAATTAGCGATCTTCTTCGTGATATGTAATAAAAAGTATATATTTTATAGTTAATTATAAGAAATATAACTAAAATGTCAACAAAATTAAAAAATCATCTCGAAACGTAATATACCGTTTAATTCATATTTTTTTTTGTCAAAGAGATGTTTTGAGATAGCAGTCATTGGAAGTACAAAGTAAAAATAAAGCATAATAATTAATAAAATAATAATAATTATAAATATAATAATTAATTTTTACTGTGTCCTTCCAATGACTGCAATTATCAACCAACTCCCCTTCAATATCTTCCAAAAATTATCCACCAATTACAATAAATTATTTGATCATTTTTTTTTCTGTTCAATGTTTCTAAACGTTTACGGTCTCTAAAATATTCATAATGCAATAATATAGTATCTTATATCGATGAGCTCTGAGCTGAGCTTAGGAACTTCCCCATTATCAGAGACATGAGTAGAATGGAAGTTATTCCAAGCAGTAAGACAAACACTTAAGGGTAGCTATAGCAACGCCACTTATTGTAAATATTAAAAGATACATTAAAATTAATTTTGGCCTCTTGATAAATCTACAGAATCGGATGAATATTGAATGAAATACAGTTTAAATATAAAGTAAAATAAACAGCTTAAGAAATTATAGTTATTTTTGGAAGGAGCTCATAACGTAATTTCCGGGAACGTCAGATCTCTAAGGTTGGTGCTGATTTCAAGAGATTTAATGTGAATTATAAAATATATCATCGGTTTATTGCAAAAAGTCATTAAGTGGCTTTTCATAATCTCAAATAATTTAAAACTTTGATGAATTTACCATTTGCTAAATTAAAAAATTTAGTGTGTTTATTGTAACCACATTTGATACATAAAAGAGTGTGACATTATTAGTGAACTTATTTTCATCGGTAAAGGTTAAAGTCCATAAAAGTTCAGCTCCATCAAAAATGTACCTAGTGATCTTTTCTTTGATAAATCGACGATATTATTAATTTGCATGTTTTGTGATTGTTAAAAATATACTCTTGGTTGTGTATTTAAAAGAAATTGTACTCGCCAATTAAAAGCTCTTAGATAACTTTTCTTGGTATGATACCAAATTTCACTGATCAAAACAGAACATTGAAACCTTACATCAATCAGTACATACAATCATATTCATGTCATTCTTAATCCTTAATTTATAAACTTTCCGTAAGGAACTAGGAAATAAAATCGTAAAATGAACGGAAACGTTTTTTTTAAAAAAAATAAAATATATTAATTTTTAATTAACAAATATAAAAATTGGTACAAACTTTATTTACATTATTTTGGTGTATTGTATTTATAAAAGCCCTCGCCAGTCTTACGGCCCAATTTTCCTTCTGAAACAAGCTTGTTCAAAGTTTCCACTGGCTTAAAAAGTTCTACCTCAGGGAATTTTTCATGCCAACCTATAAAAACAAAATTAATTAAAAAATTATACATTTTAAATGAAGAACTTATTCATATAATTTTTATTCTGTGGTAATCATAAATATATATTTTTTAAGTTGACTCTATTTTTAAATTTAATCAGAAAGTTGACTTCCTTAACAAAAGAAAAATGAAAATAATTTCATATCAATTAATCAATATTATTTAAAAATAATTAGTTGGTTCGTGCGAATGATTTGCCTTGTATATTGAACAGTTTACAAACAGTAATACAATAAGAAATTAAGTAGATGGACTATAAGACAAAATTTCAAAAGGTTCTCCGTATTTTAGCTAATAATGGTGCGATTTCAGTATTTTTTTTTTTTGTTTTAAATAGTCTTAACTTATTAATAACTTTTCAATCTAATTTTTCTGGAGGATGTTCTTATGCTTTGGCACTAAAAGAGAAAATAATCATTGGGTTTGATTGACAAAAACATTCTTTAGAAGACAGAAGTAAAATAAAATTGTGAGCTCTGCCGTGATAAGTATAATCTTTGATTATATTTCTCATTATCTATTTTTATAATGTCGCAAACTGGTAGCACTGATGGTTGAAATGGAAACATCCTGTTCCATCATGCAATGCACATTACGCTTTTTCTTATTTAAGAAAATATTTAGGTTTTTCTGAATGACATTTATCTAAATCTGATTAATTTCCTTTTTTTTTTAATTATGACATTTTTAACCTATAGGAAACAGTTTACTTTCTAAGGATCTTAAGGAGCACTTGGACATTTCACTAAAACAGAATTATCAAACCTAATAACTTAATAGCAACATTAGCACTAAACCAATCTATTTATTTTATTCCTCTTGTTACCGAGAGCAGATGAAAAACATCAAAAATAAGAAACAAAAAACGCTAGCGTAGAGGAAAAACCATTTATATATTAGTTTTCTCCATAGTTTCTTAAATGTTTAAACGCACCTCTAGGATAAATATTAAAAATAAATTACCATCTAGTATATATTTTGAAGTATCTAAGCCTGTGTAGTCTGCAAGTTCAAACGGACCCATGGGAAGTCCAGCACCTAATTTCATGGCAGTATCAATGTCTTTAGATGTTGCCACTCCTGTTAAAATAAGGAACTATTGTAAAAATATATATATTTATAATAGCATATGAAGAAGCAATAAATATCAATTTCATTACACTTTATTATTTAATTATTTATTAATTAAGTATTATTATTATTTAATTTTTGATCATAACATCTTAATCCTATTTTTTAAAGAAATTTAACTAGTTATTGATTTTATGAAATGTCAGTGATATTTATTACATGGTGAATAAAAACTTATTGCTTACTAGTTAACAGAATATTTCATTGAGCAACTGATAATATAATATAAAAATAACTTAATGATATGTATTGTAAGAGGGAAGAAATAATTTTCCTTTTCTCAGTCATGTCTCATTAGTTCATTAAAACTAATAGTTTCAAACATGTGTTCATTACTATTGTTTGTAAATAATGGTCTGGTTTCGATAAACTTTTTTTTGTTTTGTAGAGAATTAAATAAATTTTTAAATAATCATGGGTCCAACCCAGAAAAAAATGTATATTTTTTAAGTTATTCGCAAATAAAATTATTTTTCATTCATAACTTTTTTTCCTAAAATTTCAAGTACATGCTACTATGATTCGTTGCTCCTCCATTTAATACCCTTTCCTTCCCTACCTCATTCATCATAATCCATCACTCCTGAGAGCCGGAAAAGGAATCGTTTATTCGAAAAACTATTGTGTTATATTATAAAGATAAATACTAGAAATTGCATGATTAATTAGTAATAACAAGCATGGTATTCATGTTGTACATCTAATAATTATTTATTCCATGTTACAAATTTTTAATATCCCATCTCAGTTCATAGCAATGCTAGCTTAAAATAGTTATTGGAAACGATAATTTATTTTATTATTATAAAAAACCTCAAAAATTTACATAAATTTCATATATCAACATAAATAGATGAAAAACTTATTTGTTTTAATATAAAGATGAGGAAATGTTATGTACCACTAAAATAATTAAGTTGAAGAAAGTTAAAAGTATTATCTAATTTATTTAACTAAATGTTTAATAATGTTATGAGACATTGGGCATGTTTGAGCGAAATTCACTAAATTAAGTTTGTATTAGCAACGCTAGCATTTATGACAACTGCACATATATTTGTATATAATGTTATCAAAGCCCATATTTTATTAAACACGTCTTACGTATGGAAGCTTATTTCAACCTTTTGGTCAAGCTCAGGTGTATTCGGTTCTCAAGTACTACGACCCCTTTTCCTAAACATTTTTTCCCTTTTACTCCTTATATAATGTAAAATGGTTTTATTTAAAATAAAAACAATTAAAGGTACTTTAGATGAACAAATTTTGAAACTTAGGGATTTACACGCCCTATTAGAGAACATCAATGAGAATAACATCTACATTATATTACAAACTGCTCAATTTTACACTTATTTAATGAATTTACATAAAATTTCTATACACTTTATTTAAATAAAAGTTTAATATATGTGAGACAATCATTTCATGGAGGTTCGAACAAAAGTCAACAAGCCCAGTTAATAAACTTTATGTGAAATGATATCTACCAGGTGAACAAGACAACATTCATGGGCTAAATTAATTTTTGCAATTAAGTACAGTCAAATGAGGCATTGAATGACTTCCTGGTTGCCATCTTTTTTAAGATAAATAAATTGTGAAATGAATGATTTATTTGACTAATGGAATCCTCTATGTTTGCATAAATATTTACCTCTTTCCAACATTCTTATAGCTTCTATAAATTGAGGTACCAGTAATCTATTAACCACAAAGCCAGGTGTGTCTTTACAAGTTATACAAGTCTTTCCAATGGCTTTACCCCAATTCATCAGCTTTTGATAGGTCTCCTCTGAAGTTTCATCTATTTTGATTACCTGAAGGCAAAACCTTGAATTATTATCAGAATTTTCAAAGTATTTTTGAAGCAAATGTTTATAAAATGAAATACAAACTAACTTCTAATAATTTCATGACAGGAACTGGATTGAAGAAGTGAAGACCACCAAACCTATCTTTCCGCTTGCTTACTGAAGCGATTTCACCAATACTTAATGAAGAGGTATTAGAAGCAAAAACAGTATGTTCTGGAGCAACCTACGACATAAAAATTATTTCGGTTTAAATTTCAATGGTTATTACAGTTTTCTAAACGATTATTAATATCAATGTATCACAGCAGTGATATATAGTATTCCTCTCATGAATGTAAATAAATCTAACTCTTATAAATTAATTTTTTTTTATAAAACTTTTTAAGAATATATTTTATCAAAAAATGTTCAATATGCATTAGAAATTTTTATTTGATACATACTGAGTCTATACTTGTGAACAACGTGTGTTTTGCTTTCATATTTTCTACAATTGCTTCCACAACCAGATCAGTAGACTTAACTGACTTCTGAAGATCCACTGAATAAGATATATTTGCCAGTATAGTTTTTAAAAATTCTTCAGCTTTCCCAGGGTCATCCTATTTTAATTATATATGCAAAGCTTAAATTATTGTTAATGTTTCCATTCAAAGCATAAGATACTGTAAATTATATCAAACCATAAATACCTTGTGTACTTTTTTAGCTACTCTTTTTAAACTTGCTGCTATACTTTCCTCTGCCTTCTTAATTATATCTTCTTTGACATCAACTAATGTGACTTTATGCCCACTTTGTGCTGCCACCTATAGAATATTATTAATAATGTAGCATTAAAATCAATAATGAATCTACTAACACAAACTAAATAAGACAATAATTTAATTAATAATATTTTGAAGTTAATATAGGTCTAAAACAGGTTCATAAAATAAAAAAGCCAAAATAATAATTATCAGAATCATAAGATAGAATATAGCCAGAATTAATGAAAAATATATATGGTGGATGATAGCTCCATCCCCTTCCAATTTGGTAAAAAAACAAAATAATGTAACATTTCTCTTATATTTTACAAATAATAATATAAACTGCAAAAAACACTTATACTTTTGGGATACTTCCTAAATAAATAAGAGGTTATTAAATAATAAACAAAAATATAAGAGTATTAATACATTAAATTGAAATTTATAATTATTTTATCTCAGGTGTGGGTTACTGACAATCAAATCTAAACACTGTTTGATTTTAAAATAATGTCAAGTATGAATTGTCAAGATAATCTTTTTTCTATAGATACTGTTTCTTCCTTTGTTGCACTGAATTAATTTGTCTTAAAACACTTTCTAATGTTCTCCCAAACACAACTTCCAAATGGTGATACTTTCATCTATTCAACTCAAGCTTCCTCGGAGATCCTCTCTCTTGTAATTCCAAACAACTAGTGAATCTGTCAAACAACAACTTCTAAGATGGTAATAATATTACTGGGTTTTACCCACTGGAGCCAGGATCTCTTCTTATTCTCTCCTCACCCCAGCCAAACACCAACTTCTTCTTTTTTTTGTGTCTTCCCCTTCCTCGCCTTTAAGGCTATATGGGGTTTTCCCGGCCGGAGGGTGTGGGTGGGGATTAGCCAAACACCAACTGCTGGCTAAAACAAAATCTTTTGTCCCATCCTCTCTTTCGGACTTTTCTTTTTGGGGAAACTACAGAGCAGCTATTTTCTTTTTCCAGAACTAGTGGAACTAGATAAGCTTTCCTTTTAACTGTTACATTAATTTATTAAACTATTTTTAACAACTTTCAATTAAGGTGTATGTTACAATAAATAATAATAAAGTAGATAGAATATAAAAAATTAATTTGAAAAAAATGGTTAACAGCAACAGGCTGGTCATTAATACCTCAGTATTCTGGAAGATAATAATTAAGAAATAATAACAGTTTGTTTCATTGAACTTAAGAAGGATTTAAAACAGTTAAGTCCTCAATGCCTGATCATTTTATACTTCACAATTTACCAAAGGAAAACAATATCAATTAAGTATTTTAATTTAAAATAATAAAAGAAAATAGAATTAGAAAATTTAATAATAAAAGTATTCTTTCAAATCTTGTAATTCTCATTTCTTTTTGGTGGGTGTAAGACTGGATGTTGTCCAATGCTTCACACTTATGTTAATTAGTTTCAATTTACTTATTGGTTCTCTCATTCTATTTCAACTGCCATCATTTATAAATACTTTCTTTTAGTGGGTAGAAGAATTGTGGCGCAGTAATAGCTGTGATGCATTGACATGAAAAATTTAAAACCTATCTGGTAACTATGTCAGCCATCTCGTTTCCCTTGGTATCAACATGACTAAGTACACAGATGAAGTAGACCAACTTATCTATAACTTTTAGCATTTTAAGGTATTTATGCTGAAAGCAATAGGTAAGTCCGTCCTTTCTTATTATTAGAAATTTGTAATACATTTTGATATATTTGCTGTTTACCCTGCTAAAGTAATCTAGTTTGTTGCCTGTTAATCCATAGTAATACAATGATTTGGTTTTGTTTTTTTAAAATAACTTTCTCTTTTGTATTTTTGTGACATTTTAATCTAAATAATTCAGCTTTATAATAACACACATGCTTAAATAGCCAACAAAATATGTTTATGTGTTATTTTTATTTTGTAACAATATTTCTTTTATATCAATGGTTAATCAAGAGTTGGAGTTTTGCACATCCATATTTTAGATACATAATTATTTTGAAATATTTAATAATAAATTAGTTTATAAAATCAATATCGAAATTTCTAAAATTTCTGTGGTATACTTGATATGGGTTAGAAATAAAATATTAATTTACCTGAGCAATTCCAGAACCCATCAGACCTCCTCCAACTATTGTCACATGGTTTATAGAAGACCTCATTGCTGAACTTGTAGCCATTCCTCTGGAAATGACTTTGAAAACTTGCGCCATTCTGTACTATAAACTGAAATATTAATTTTAATTAAGTATTGCTTTAAATTAATTAAATATCATAAATTATTAATTGATGAAAATTGAAGTTATATTATTTACCGTTTAAATTATTAAAATATTTACCCTAAGTTAAATGCCGCTTATTCTAATATAAACAATTTCAACGACTGACCCTTACTACCGGTGTGATCTTATATAGTTTCTTTAAAAAGCGGCACTGAGATAAGTCTTATCAAAAGGCAACTCATTCAAGCAATTATCATTATGCAATCACTAGTGATCTTTGAACTTTCTATTCCATCACATTAGAATCAATAGGGTACATTATTTTTTTTTGTTTTTTTTGGTTTTACAAAAATAAAAATTACAACTTTGACAACTTTATTAAACATTAGTAAATTAGCACTCTAAGAAGATAAATAGAAATTCATTGGAAACCTAGTGGGTAAGAAATTAAAAAGTAAAATGAATTAAGTACTTATATGTGACTGGTCAGAAGTGCATATTGAAAATCTCACATAAATATCTTAAAGGTAAATAGAGTAGAAAATAAAAATTATATATCTTATTTTTATTTGAAACTTTTTTTTCTGTTAATTATTAAAGAATTAATGCTGGTAGCAGTAAAAGGAAGAAAAATATTAGGTATAATAATGTCTTAATGGATAAATTTTCCGAATTTAGCGTTTATTGGGAAATATGTTTAAAATACAATTAGCAGATAATTTTTACCTCTAGATCTTGAAATTATATAGAGGCTAATATAATATAATAAGTCTTACATTTAATTAAAATCTCATGGATTCTGTGAGGGGGGGGGGAGGAGGAGTTTTGGGGCTGACATCTCCCTTAATCCCGAAAAATGTTTGTTTTACATTTGTCCATATTTGTTTCTGACAATGAATGATCTGAGCCCAATACTTAAATATTTTCTTCTTTTTTTTTTTTAATTTTAACGTTTGTACTTTTACTACTACATATAAGCACTTTAGTTCCTGTAACTAAATAAATAAAGTCTTTATTCATATATAATAATTTAAAATGATACTTTTCTTTGTTTTCAAATAATACAAATAAATTTTTCCTGTAATTACCATTAAAATAACAAAAGATAAAAAAGAAAATATCCTCCTCCTCAAAAAAAATCATTTGCAAAACATTATACATTTTAGGAAGTAAAATATTAAATACATTATTTGTATTTTTTTTTTGTTAATACACAAAAAAATATATACGTATTTTCTTATAATATATAAAATTTAAATTATTTTTTTTTTCTCAAAAATTCTTAATTGAGATATATTACAATCTGTCACAAAAATTAAAATTAAAATTTTAAATAACAAACAGACAACCTAGTGTGTAGGTCGCTTAATGCTATGCAGTAAGCTGAAATTTGCACCAGAAATCCAGTCCATGAAAATCAAGCTTGTTGTAATTTTAAGGTCCATGATTTTTAATATTTAACTAAACATTTTTGACTATAAAATAGGTTTGAAAATCAATGGTATGATATTGGAACGAATAAGGAAGAATTCAATTTATGCAATATGGAAAATTCTAAAAATTATATAATTAGATGAAGCGACATATTTTAAATCGTTCAGAAAAATCGATTGAAAAACTAACTCTTCTCCACATACTTGAAAATTTCACTTCGTTTCGTCACCTGAAACTAATAATTAAAACAATAAAACAATTTTCTCAGAAAAAAGTCGTCTCACTGTCCCAAAATGGCAGACTAATGAATTTTACTGGAGTTAGTTTTTTTGGAATTTGATCTAATTTCGTCAACATTAGCCTTTTATTAAATCTAGATAGTCAGAGAATCAGAACCAAAAAATAAATAAATAAATTGGCTCAGATTAGAAAAAAAAAAAACATGAGTAAACTGTTTGAAGCTGTTCTCACGAAATTTGAAAATTCAAGTCCATTTGTACATATGTAGCGTATAATCTCGAAATAAGTCTTCACATTGTATAGACAGAGCTATCAGTCTTTTTTGGATACTGCCATTGACTTTTAAAAATATTTAATATTTATAGGCAATCCACTTCATCGATGGAAAAACGAGACGAAGCACTTTCGGTCCAGTAAACATGTGTGTATGTGTATTTACTTGCCTTATTCCGTACTGAGAACGTATAACATTGATACTTTCGTAATCAAATTTATATCCTATTATAATATAATATATGAAAATAAAGAATTGTTTCATTAGATTTATCTTTGGAATCCCCTCGCACTATTCCCCATAATCCGCCGTACGCCTAAAAAGAAGATGGCTACGGGACCATCGAAACATAGAATTGATTGGTATTAAGTCATTGAAATACCATCATCGGTTCAATTAAACATTTCGTGAATTTTGTAATAAACAATAAATGACATTTTATTTTAAAAATTGCATAATAATAATCATTCTTTAATCTCTTTCACTTTACAAAACCTTTTTGAGCGAAATATTAGAAGGATTAGAACGGACGTGGAAGATGTCGAGTTGAAAACAGAAATGAAAGAATAGTAATAGTTAATGTATTGCTTGAATCAAAATAGATCATGGAAACAAAGCAAAAACACAAAAACTATAATATAAAAACAGAATTGCGACTTTAAATTATGAATTTGTATATTTCTTTGACATAAGCAATGAAAGTAATCTTCAAAATAGTGGCATAATCTTTGGTTTTGATGAAGTACTAGGAGGAATATGACAAGTCATTAATAAAATACATTAAGAAATAATATTTAATAGTTATACTTAACGAATTTCATCTATGAGTTTTAAAATATTCCGAAATCCGAAATCAATCTTATAATTGAAGACAATTGATCGAGAAGGCAATGGTGAAGCCAAAGAGAGACATAATGATATCCAGCCCATGTTCTTCAAGATCGTTTTGCTGAATCCGTTTTCTGATAAGAAAATCACTATATTCATTTAATTATTTATTCGAAAAGAGTGAAAGCAAAAATATAATGAAATACAAATAACTAAAAGTATGCTGGTATAATGTGTAAAGCTTTCTTAACAGACCAAATAACCGCTCATATTGTAACTGTGGTTCTCCCAACTCAAAACTGCTGTTTTTCTCTAAATCCTTGAAGTATTGATGACCAATTATTTATTATACCTAGCTTGCTTAATTTTAGGATTGAATTTATTTTCTCATACAGACAAATGATGATTATATACAATGCTTAATTATATAATTTGTTTACATTTATAAATTAAATTAAATCAATTTTTTTATAATTGAGAAAAGAAATTCAATGCTACAAGCCCATTGATACAATTGAAGAACCTCCTAGGTTCAAGTGGTACAGATTTTTTAAATAAATATATAACATATTGTATTATTAGTTACAACCATTTTCCCCTTTTATTGGCATTCTGTAACTAAATGATTAACCCAAAAAATAATCTTGTCTGGTACCTAAAATTGATGTGCGTAGCCCAGTAAACTAAAAACAGAAAAAATCTCAAATACTATTCTAAACAATGCTTTAACAAATATGAAAAATTCAATACTTACCGATAAAGAAATACTCAAAAAGTAGATTATTTCACTTATGTGTGCATCAAAGGTCTACAGCTTATTGTACTAATCGTATCCAGCCTGAATCTTATCTAATTATTTAGAAGGCTATGACTTGCATATTTGTTTTTTAGGACGATGACTATTCAGTTTAAGAATATCGATACTCCGATAAAATAACTAACTAAATATATTTCAAAATAATGTTTGTGTTTTCTTCTGGTTAAAATACTTCTATTTAATAACAGGGCTCTATTTAATAAAAGTTATACTCAACAATCTTTAATATTTTCTACATAGAACATAAAACTTACAGTTAGTGAATAATATGTAGACATTTTTTTTTTTTTAAACATGATATAGGGTAAACTGGAAACGATTGTGACATTTTTTATTTAATCTTGACTTCGTCCATAATTTTATTAGGATATTAATTAGCTCGAAGAAAATTGGTTTTCATAGTAAAATATATATTTGACTACATATTAAAAACTTAAACTTTGCCAACCCAGGATCGGTATTGACAGGTTCGAAAATACACCAAAATGGTAAAAATTCACTTTTATTGTATTATATAGTAAAGTAATTGTTAATAACTTAAACTACATGTGTCTTAAGTATCGCTTCCTATTCAACGAAAAACATGACCTACATAAAAACCACAAAACTAGGATTTGCTACTTTATCATTTACATAAACTTTTTTGTACCTTATATCACTCCTCTACTTAGGAGAAACTCTGTATAATAAACAATTGTGTGATTAATACAGTATTTTTTGACAACCTTGGTGTTCGGGAAATGACTGTAAATGGAGAGACGGATAACATGAGTTCCAGCAAATCTTGTAAATCGGAACATCTACGAGTACCACGCCAAGTCTGGAGAAACCATAACACGTCACCTAAAAATGGGACTGCCCCTCCGCGGGAATTCTTGTCTACGTCATCTAAACTATAGTGGCTGTGGTCAAGTCAACCGATGTCATCCATTTTCTTGTTTTTATTTGTTAACGCATGATTGTCTTTCGTGATGTTATATTAAGTATTTTATAAAAAATTACTCCAGAAATGTCAAATGTAATTTACAGTGGCAAAATCATACTTTTTGTTTAGCTTCTGGTAATAATTTGCTTTATTGCCAAATGTTTATAAAGTGATACTTCATTTGCGATAAGCAGTATATTAATATTCAGTTGTTGATAATTTAATGCCGAAATTTAGACCCTCTTCCTCTTCTTTTAAAGATTAAAAATATCGTAGCGCGAAACAGCAATATTTTTTTATATATATCGATATTCACATACCTACTGATTAAGAGTTAAAAATATTAAAAATCGATATATCGATAGTTTTTGCGACATTTGCATCATTATTGTATTGGAATTTTATAGGTACTATAAAATGAGTTGTCTTCAATTGAAATGATTCTTCGGCACTAATGGATTGATCCTTGACTTGATATGTTTTTTTTTAGAGGACAAACCAATGATACTCACTGCAATATCTAATTAAATGTATATTTATTTATTTTTAATCACAGCCTCAGATATGTAAATATAGGATAATTCTCAATAATTTATTCTCTAATGAGAGGCTTGATCACAAACACTATCTAACGCTAATTTGGTTCGCCATTTTTCGAGTAACAAGATCCTTGAGTTCTTTAGAAGGTTGACTTTTCCGTTTGTATATTATAAATCCATTAACGTAATTACGCTTATATAAGTTTTTTCTTGAAAAAT